TAGAGGTGAATAAAAGCTGTTGGCGTTGAAAAGGACACATGCTGGGCAAATCTGAGAACAGTATCACTAAAATATCTTTGCATTGGAGCTCACAAGGGCATAGAAATAATCGAAGACTAAAAAACCAAATAGAGAGAGAGAGAGAGAGGAGCTAGAGAGTAAAGTTAAAAAGATGGAGAGGACATAAGTAGAAATGCATGCAATAGCGAAGCATAGAATGACTTGGCTTGACAAGCTTATGGATCAATGATCCATTCATCAGTCATCATTTTCTTCTTCTTCTTTCTCCTCCTGGAATGCCCCACGGCCTCAGGGTAAGAAGAGATCTCTGGAACAGGTCCTTCTGTTTGCTTCGTATAAAGTACTTTTGAGCGTCTCTGATATTTATGCGGTCATCAGTTCTCTTTATGCCTAGTGGCACTCGAGGCGCTTCAGAGAGGCTTTCCCTGCCTTTCTGTCCATGGCAATCTTCAGTACAGTTTTCCATGTCAGGATGTAGCACTCAGTTCAGTTTCCATCCTTCGTCTTTCTTATTTTCTATGCTGCACTGAGGAAGAGAAAGGCAGAAGAAGAAAAAGAAGAAAAGAAGAAGAAGAAGAAGAAGAAGAAGAAGAAGAAGAAGAAGAAGAAGAAGAAGAAGAAGAAGAAGAAGAAGAAGAAGAAGAAGAAGAAGAAGAAGAAGAAAAAGAAGAAGAAGAAGAAGAAGAAGAAGAAGAAAAAGAAGAAGAAGAAGAAGAAGAAAAAGAAGAAGAAGAAGAAGAAGAAGAAAAAGAAGAAGAAAAAGAAGAAGAAGAAGAAGAAGAAGAAGAAGAAGAAGAAGAAGAAGAAGAAGAAGAAGAAGAAGAAGAAGAAGAAGAAGAAGAAGAAGAAGAAGAAGAAGAAGAAGAAGAAGAAGAAGAAGAAGAAGATTCACATGTCTAGATACAAAGTACGAACTTCCAATCGCTTGTTCATTTGTCCAAACGACCGTTTTGTATACAGAGGAAGATGTGCCGTTTGAGAGACGCGATGTTGTTGTCAAGAAAGACAGATGGGTTACAGATTTGTATGCTGTGGATTCATTACTGGGACGGTCAGTGGTTCCTTATCGTCGTCATCGTCATCATCATCTTATCATCGCCTTTATCATTGTCATTATCATAAAAATCTCATCATTATCCTAATTATTATCATCAGTAACATGGGAGTCACTGTTGTGTAGCGGCTAGAGTGGATAGATGCTTGCCTGAGGATCCAAAGATCATGGGGTAAGATCCAAACGGATCGTAACATCTTCAGGCCGATCCAGCCTTACATTAGTACAATTTAAAGCTCTTGAAAATAAAGTACGATAGACATGGCCAATAAGACACCTCTTTTGGGGGGTGCCTAGTTGACCATGTTCTTAGTGCACTTGTATTCATGGCAAGGCCCATACGCCGTCTGGAGGTGACAGGTTCAATTCCCGGCACAGTAACTATAGCTTTCGATTTTTATGTTGTCTAGTGTGTTCTTCTATCTATCTACTTCTTTCTATGAGTGCCGATCAATACACTTTCTGTTACTTGATTAATTGAAAATAAAGGTGGCGGTTTAGACCACATCGGGTACTAAGTGCTGATTTGTCTTTAAAAAGAAATATGTCTTGCACTATATAACTAGTGTGACTGAAGGTGTGAACAAGTTTCCTTGTCTCATCAGATCCCCACCCCTTTCATCATCATCATTACCATCATTATCATTGCATCATCAATACTATCATTGTCACCATGAACATCACCATCATTATCGTCATCGCATAATTGTCAAAATCATCATCACAGTCGTTATCAACATCGCATCATCATCATCACCATCTTTATCATCATTTTCATCATTACCATGTCACCATTATCATCACAGTCATTATCACCATCACCTAATCACAACTCTTCACCATCATTGTCGTCATCGCGTAATTATTACCATCTTTGTCACCGCCATATCAATACCATCATTATCAACACCACACAAATTTTAATTATAATACTGATCAGTGAATCTATTTTTATTATTTCATCATTTGATTTAAAATCACTACGTGAATTACGTGTGTCAACGCCTGGTTGTCAAACAGTCTGGCTTACATGGGGAGGTCGAGACAAAACTGATACAACCATACACACTGAAGATAGCGCTTTTACACACAGATTATCTCTTGTTGATCAAGACCAGTGTGAAGGAGTGGACGAACAACCAAAGCCTTCGGTTGAGTTTACACCCGGCGAACGCTATGAAGAAGAAGAAGAAGAAGAAGAAGAAGAAGAAGAAGAAGAAGAAGAAGAAGAAGAAGAAGAAGAAGAAGAAGAAGAAGAAGAAGAAGAAGAAGAAGAAGAAGAAGAAGAAGAAGAAGAAAAAGAAGAAGAAGAAGAAGAAAAGAAGAAAAGAAGAAGAAGAAGAAGAAGAAGAAGAAGAAGAAGAAGAAGAAGAAGAAAGAAGAAGAAGAAGAAGAAGAAGAAGAAGAAGAAGAAGAAGAAGAAGAAGAAGAAGAAGAAGAAGAAGAAGAAGAAGAAGAAGAAGAAGAAGAAGAAGAAGAAGAAGAAAAAGAAGAAGAAGAAGAAGAAGAAGAAGAAGAAGAAGAAGAAGAAGAAGAAGAAGAAGAAGAAGAAGAAGAAGAAGAAGAAGAAGAAGAAGAAGAAGAAGAAGAAGAAGAAGAAGAAGAAGAAGAAGAAGAAGAAGAAGAAAGAGAAGAAAAAGAAGAAGAAGAAGAGGAAGATTGAGAAGAAGAAGACGAAGAAGAAATATAAGAACAAGAAGAAGAAGAGGAAGAATAAGAAGAAGAAGATGAAGAAGAAATATAAGAAGAAGGTGCGTTGCTTCAGTGATATCAACATAGATATAGAGATGCAACAAACACGACTAAATTCCACTGAAATACACAAAACACATTGTCTATTTTTGCACTGTTTGTCTTTTCTTTGTTTCCTTATGGGCAGGGGACATAGAACTGTGGTTTACAGCGAAGCTGTGACATGTACCTCTTTCGGTACAATAATCCAGTTAACAAAAGCTTTCTAATTAATTTACTTTTACCACAGTCTTGAGAGTCTGAAACTGAATTTGTTAAATTCAAAAAGGATAGCATTGTTTTGAATAGATCTTTACTGCCACATTCCAGGGGTAAGTTCGGAGAGGTGAAAAAGTGTCGAGAACGGCGGACCGGCAGACAACTTGCAGCTAAATTTATTGAAGTGACGGGACCGCAAGACAGGACTGACATCATCAATGAATTGGAGATCATGAAGCACTTGCAACACCCTAGGCTGCTCCAGCTCTATGATGCCTTTGAGAACAGGGACCGATTTTGCCTGGTGTTGGAACTGTGAGTACAGAGTTGGTTTTCATTTAATATTAAGCTATCTTTTTTCTTCTTCTTCTTATCTCTACTCCTGGAATGCTCGCGGTATCAGGTCAGGAGGACCGGCTCCTTCTGTTTGTTGTTGTCTTTATATATTGTACTTTTCAGTGTCTCTTATACTGCTGTGGTCAGTATTCTGCGTGGTCGACCTCTGTTTCTGTTACTGCTGTATTTAAATAACATTGCTGTCTGTGGTGTCCTGTCTTATGCAAATCTTGTTGCATGGCCAAACCATTTGATTTGTTGTCTACCTATTAGGTTCAGTATTTATTTAAGATTATTTGTACTTTATTACAGTCGTTGTCGTCATCATCATCACTATCAGCCCCTTGGCATTTTTTCAAAGGGGCAATATATCAAACAGTTATACATGTTCGCATTGTATAGGATTCGCAAACCATGCACAGGAAGATATATTCAGCCAGAGGTCACAGGTTATTCATGAGAGTCACATAAATATATTTCCGGGGATATGTAGGTATGTTTGTAAACAAGCAGGCAGACTAACTGGCTGGACGCTCCCATAAGCACGCTGACTGCGCTCAGCAGCAAGCGAAGAGTTTCAATTCCGATAGCACCAGTAAGTGTATGACTGTATCTCTCGCCTTTCTCTTGAGTGTTGAGCGGCTGCCAGATCCCTGCTAACTCCGCGCAGTGCCATTCTCCTCAGACCGTAATGATCACCAACAAGTGGTGCAGAACCGGCCAGTCTATCTGCCTGCTCGTTTCCAAACACACCATCATGACCTAGGGAAAATATTCAAAGGATGCTAATTACCCGGGACCTCTGAAGCGATGCCAGCGGGTACCATCTGTATGAAGACTCTTCGCGGGCTGTTTAGGAGGTGGACGGAGCGTGCATGGGCTTATCCTGAAAGCTGTGATGTCCAGTTTTCACCCACATGAACCCAGATGACTCAAACTACGACTGATACCTTCGGAATCACAACTGTTCACGGGCTGCTATGATGAAGATAGGGGTGGAATACTTTTTGGAACATCCCAACAATTCGAGATGTCGGGTTTTTAACGATGCCAACTTAACTCATCTAAAGTTTACTATCTCTACTAGCTTCAAACTTTCAATTTGTATGTTACTTACTTATTAGGCTCCCCCCCCCCCCCTTTTTTTTTCCTCACCCTCAAAGCTTCGAACATCGCATAGAAAAACAAATTGTCTTGTCTTACTTTAATTCAGAATTCAAAAGTTTATTTGACGATGTTTTAAGGGTCAGTGGTGGCGAGCTGTTTGAGAGGGTCATCAATGATGACTTCATCCTAACAGAGAAAGCTTGTGTGATGTTTATGAGGCAGATCTGCGATGGGGTGGCTTTTATGCATTCGGAGAACATCTTACATTTGGACATGAAGGTAAGGCTCCTGTTCAGTTTAAATCGTAATGCATCATTTTAGTTTATGCAGTCTTATTTATGGAAGCCGTCGTGGTCTAGCGGCTAAATGCTCGGCTGCGGATCAAAAGGTCGTGAGTTCAGTTCCTGATGAGGGCGAATAAAACAAAAGAGTGACTCCCAGGTTGCCTCAGCCTTGAATGGGTACCAGGTACAGTCCTGAAAAGTAGCCGGTGTGATGCTAAACATAACACTCACCAAATGCCGATTGGTCTTTTAAATATAAGTCTTGCCCTTTATGCCCAATATGCCTGAAAGGCATGGAAAAAAGACCTTCTTAGTATCATTTATAATGCTTGGTTGGCAAGTGGTCCAGCTGGAAAGCTTCAACATGCGGACTTTGCCTCTGACCCGACAGCTTCTGCAGCATGATGTGTTCTAAGCGTACTAGTGTTACCTTTCTACTGGGGTAAACAAGAAAGGTCAAAGAGGTAGATCGTGCTATATTGGCGACACATGGTCTCTACAATATTTTCCCTGCTTTTTTACTATATAAAAGTTTTTTTTTTTTTTTTTTGTTACGTGGGCAGGTCTTTCTAGTCACACTCTCCATCGCCATGAAACCATATAGGACAATGTAACACAGTTGTCTGGAAAGATTTAAAGTCGCCTCAGTATGCGAAATCTGTCTCGATGGTGATGATGATGATAGTAATGATGATCTTCTTCTTCTTCGATCCTTCTTTCCGAAAATTTATTTCAGGAGGCCGGTAGCATGTACGAATGATACCGTGCAATGCATATCTTCTTGTGTACTCTACAGTTTGATCTTTATTGTTGTTGGAATAGGCCAGACTGTCAATGCAGTTGATGGCGTTGGAGCACATGCTCAGTATTTTCTGGTGCGAGGAAGCAGGAACACATCTCCGTGTTTCCTACAACGAAAAGTTTGAACATATGTTGATCAAGTCTTTTGTGCCCTGTTCTTAGTCTGAATATAATACATTATCCCTCTCTAGAGAAGAAGTAAAGCTAATCTTGTGGAGAGAGTTGCGTGTGTGTATCCAGCCACCTTTCTTGGATAGTGGTGGTGATGATGTTAAAATATATCATCTTCAAATAAAATGGCAACCAAAGCAGAAAAGTTCAAGAATTCAGAACATGCATACGCTCACTTATCACTGTGGTAATTTTATCTCTGCAAGCAGGAGAGTGATAAGGATATGTCAGATAGTGGTTGAGTGCCGTCGGTTAGGGGGGATGACAGAAGTGAGAGGCTGAGAGCTATCCTATGACCTTGATGACATAACTGTGCAGGTTGTCGACCGATAACATGCCTTTTTTTAAACATGGTCCACTGCCTTTTTGAAACCGGTTCTTTTCACGTTTCCATGCCTATCTACACACTACGTGACATTCAATTCATACCTTCTTAGACTGTTCTACGTCGGTGGGGTGCCATGCTGTTTTCCCTCCAATTACATCAGCACCGATGTCGGGTGTTCTAAACTACACAACGACAAAGCTTTCAACGACCCCGGAACATGTAAAACTGGCCCCAACCCCAAACTCCCTTTCCCGCAGCCTGTGTGTAGGTCACAGTAGAGACTCTTTTCGAAAAAAAGCAGTACAGCATGACACCCCTCTGACCTAGATCAGACTGAGAAAGTGTATAGATGGGCCTGGAAACGTAAACAGGTCCTAGAACCCTTTTATTGCAGCTGTGAAAGGTGAAATTCAGAAGGAGAATAGGGATAAAGAAGACAATTATTGTGGATAGATTTAGGGTTGATTGTCTGAAAAACCAAAGAGCACTATAAAAACATTCAATGACAGCAGAGGCTACGAAAACCCATGCTCTAATTGTGGAAGACTTTGCTTAACGCGAGCGAGTCATGTTAGTCCCACTCGCTCTCGCCATTGGTTGTGATTCCTATGCAGGTCTATAACGTAATATAATACTGTGGTCTGGAAATAGGGGGAAATGCCAACGATACTGTAATTGTAATGCTAACGATATTGTAATGCCAACGATATTGTAATGCCAACGATATTGTAATGCCAACGATATTATAATGCCAACGATTTTGTAATGTTAAAGACAAAATAACTGGCTCAGAAGCTTGCTGTAACAATGGGACAGTTGAAAGAGAAGAGAGGTAGAGGGAGAACAAGATAAAAGACGTGTGATTGCTTGGCATCATAACATGGAAGACGATTTTGAATGTTGAATTAAGAATTGATATCACAGCTCTCGGGACACTCCCATAAGTGCTCAGTCCCCATCTTTAGCAGCAAGCAAAGAGTTCCAATTCCGATGGTTCAAGCAACCGTCTGATAGTATTGAGCGTCGGCCAGATCCCTTAGTAACTCGCCGCAGCGCCACTCTCCTTAGACCGTAATGATCTCTCTGCGCCTCCGCACTGTTCACCCGTTCCCAAAGGGCCCTCACAATATCTAACTTGTCATACATCAGTTCACCACCAAAGGGGGCAGAGCTAGCCAGTCTATCTGTCAGCTCCTTTCCCAACACACCGGCATAACCTGGAGAGAATATCCAAGGAATGCTAAAAAAGATCTATATTGGAAATGAAAGATACTACGCGAAACTTTGAGGCTGTGAAAACACATAATGAATGTCACTGGGCATGAACTATAAGAAGAAGAAAAAAAAAGCATGTTTGTAGCTGCAACATGTCCTTACCCGAATAGGACTCGGTGGTTACACCTGGCTGATGTAACCGTTAGGGGTAGCCTAATTATAAATTATTTGGAGGTTGTACTGGGTATCTGGGGTCTGCCTTGTTTGTCTGCCATCCAGAGTTAGATTTTGTAATTCCAGGATGGTATGTAAACCTTTAGGTAACATCCTGGAGAGGACAAACTAATCGATCGATCAAAGTTGCAGAATTGTAACTGTCAACACTGCATATTGTAGTATCTGTTGTACATAGCTCATGCTGGGCATTTACGATTGTGAATGAACTATATCTAGTGCTGGTTGTTTGGTTTTTGGAGTTAGTCGCTGGCTGTACTGTTGCACTGTTGACTAAATGTAAGCTGTAAAGTTGCACTGTTCACTAAATGTAAGCTGTAAAGTTGCACTGTTTACTAGGTGTAAGCTGTAAAGTTGCACTATTTACTAGATGTAAGTTGGAAAATTGAACTGTTGATTACATGTAAGCTGAAAAGTTGCACTGCTGACTAGATATGGGCTGTAAAGTTGCACTGTTGACGAGATGTAGGTTGTAAAGTTGCACTGTTGACTAGACGAAAGCTAGAAAGTTAGACTGTTGACTAGATGTAAGTTGCAAAGTTGGACTATTGACTAATTGTAAGCTGTGAAGTTGCACTGTTAACTATGCGTAGGCTGTAAAGTTGCACTGATGACTAGAAGTAAGCTGTAAAATGGCACTGCTGACTTGATGTAAGCTGTAAACTTGCCAGTTGACTAGTTGTTAAAAATGTGGATTGTTTTCTAGTTGTTGCCTAAAATGTTAGATTGTTGACTGTATTCTAAAAAGATGGCTTGTTGATTAGGTGTGGTCTGTAATATCAGACTGTTGACTAGTCGTTGCCTAATAAGTTAAATTGTTTTCTAGTTGTTGCCTAAAATGTTAGGTTGTTGACCAGGTGTATTCTAAAAGAATGGCTTATTGATTGGGTGTGGTCGGTAATATCATACTGTTGACTAGTTCAAAGTGTTAAATTTGGATTGTTGGCAGGCTGATTGATTGGGTATTCGAATGGCTGGTTGCTCACTTGGTTGGCTTATTGATTGTTTGCATCGCTGGCTGCTACAATGCTTGGTTGTATGCTTCATTAGTTATTGGCTGGTTGGTGACTTGGCTTTTAGATCAACTGGCTTGTTATTTGACTTGTTACTTGGCTGTTTTCATGGATGGCTGCTCAGCTGGTTTGTTGGTTGGCTGACTGGTTGGTTGGCTAGTTGATTGAGTAGTTCGTGTGTTAGTGTGTTGGCTGATTAGCCGTTGGTTACTTTATCGTTGGTTGGTTGTACAGTTGTTTGTTAAGTTGGCTTGTTATTTGGCGTGTGGCCTGTTTTTTTTTTTTAACTGTCTTGTTAGTCGACTGGCTATATGTTGAATGACATGTTGGCTAATTACATGACTTTTTGCTCGTGTGGTTGGCTAGCTGGCTGGTTGACTAACTGACATGTTGGCTTGCTGGCTGGGTGGCCCCGTACAACAAAATTGATTCTGTCCCGATTTCCCCCAACAGCCTGAAAATATCCTGTGTCTGACCCGCGAAGGCAACCGTATCAAGATTATCGACTTCGGCCTGGCCAGGAAGTACAACCCCAAGGATGACCTCCGAGTTCTGTTTGGAACACCAGAGTTCGTGGCACCGGAAGTGGTGAACTTTGACCCGATTTGTCCAGCCACGGATATGTGGAGTGTCGGCGTTATCTGCTATGTGTTGTGAGTTCAACTTTCTTTATGTCTCAAAGTGGGTTGTTATTAGGTATGATGCATGTCAGGATGGTAATTTGTCATGTTGTTACCAATATGAAATCTGCTTAGCATTTATGCTCACCCAAGGCATATGGCAGTTGCTAGAGGTGCCAAGCCAACAGTCGCCACTAGAAATTCATGTATGCTAAGGCTCATAAACATAAAATATTGTAGCCAGAAAGTTAATCCAAAAATTAGAGTCAGTTGGTCTTGTGGCACCTACACTAGGTGGGTACCTAGCTATGCCTGGTACAAGGCTGAAGTATTTGTTTACGACACGTGTGAGGACTTCCAGGCAGGAAGGGAAACTGACACAGCTGCCATTGGCATAGAAGACGCGCACAACAGCGTTCCGTACAGCAAACAAATCATATTGATGATGTTCATGAACATGGGTCAATTGGAACCAAGCTGCGCTCTTCAAAAGAACAGTGTTGATGCGACTTATGGGCATTGAAGCCTCAGCGTGTTCTTTTAGGCTTGCCTCAGGGATCACCGTTGTTTCCTGTTCTCTTCATATGTACACATCATTAATCACCAGTACATAGAGAGTAGGTATGAAGATAACTAAAGCACCTCCTATTTCCACTGGGTGCAATTTTTTAAATAATTATTTTGAAGCCCCACCCTAGCTTTTTCTGGGGACCCTGAATACAGCTGGGCCATAAATATGGCCTAACGGCTGAAAGGGGTTTCTGGGACCTCTCTAAGGGTGATCCTCATCCGCCTGGTGGCACTTTGTGTCACCGGATGTTTATCGCTTGTGTGATGCCCTGGTGGGGTACAACTACCTACATACCTACCTTTTCACTAGATGTTTGATTCACAAGCGAGCACTGCCTTGAACCCTATTTGTCGTATAGAAACATAAGAGGATGGTAACGAAAAGAATGCAGATGATTTGAATAAAAATAAATGCCTAAATGAGTGTATATGTGGAAATGAATATATGTGTAGAAATGAATATGTGCATACATGAATATCTTGCTCAGCAAAGTGATGGACACAGCTTCACAAACCAAAATATTTGATGTACAAAGTGAGCTGCCTGCGATTGGTAACAGGTCACCTTGCAATGTTATTGACAACGTTATGTTTGATGTTTGCTCAGAAAGCAGTAGCAGATCACTCACAGCTGATAAGAATATGTGTATACAAAATTATGAAATTGTGTTAATAATCCACAAAGAAAAGAAGCCAAAATAAGGTGCATACGGGTGCAATAATTTATTCAGTAGAAAAAAAAAAAAAAAAGAGTCGGCTTGCTCGTTCAATTCTTAACCATTTAAAAATCAATTTCCTTCGTCGTTTATTTTGCCCCTTCATTTGGCCTGTAGCAAACAATCATGCGTTTGACACAATCATGCATATTTCCACAGATTGTCCGGATTATCGCCCTTTATGGGGGAAACGGAAGCGGAAACACTGTCTAACGTCACCATGGCTAGATGGGACTTCAACGCCGAAGAGTTTGAGAATATTTCTGCAGAGGCCAAAGATTTTATTTCCAAGCTGTTGGTCAAAGATCCCAGGTAAATAAGTTTTAAACAGTCTAGTCCACGTTATCGTTGTATGGGGAAGGCATCTTTCAAACAGACAAGGAACTAACAGTCTGCATACAAATAAGCCAAATCTATCAAATTGATGTGCACACAAAATTCATGTTCTGAACAAGGTTAAAGTCTAGAAATTGATTAAAAAACAAAACATTCGATCGGAGTTTACAGCCAGTGAAGAAGAAGAAAGAAGAAAAAGAAGAAGTAGAAGTAAAAGAAGAAGAAGAAGAAGAAGAAGAAGAAGAAGAAAAAGAAGAAGAAGAAGAAGAAGAAGAAGAAGAAGAAGAAGAAGAAGAAGAAGAAGAAGAAGAAGAAGAAGAAGAAGAAGAAGAAGAAGAAGAAGAAGAAGAAGAAGAAGAAGAAGAAGAAGAAGAAGTAGAAGTAAAAGAAGAAAAAGTAGAAGTAGAAGTAAAAGAAGAAAAAGTAGAAGAAGATGAAGAAGAAGAAAAAGAAGTAGAAGAAGAAGAAGAAAAGGAAGAAAAGAAAAAGGAGAAAAAGGAGAAAAAGAAAAAGAAGAAGAAGAAAAAGAAGAAAAAGAATAATAATAAAAAGAAGAAGAAGAAGAAGAAGAAGAAGAAGAAGAAGAAGAAGAAGAAGAAGAAGAAGAAGAAGAAGAAGAAGAAGAAGAAGAAGAAGAAGAAGTATAAGAAGATAATAGGTACTAGGACATTCTCAGATGGCCAAACCATTTCATCGGTTGCTCTTTAATAAACTGCATGACTGGTTTCAGTGGACCCATGCAAAACAGCTTGATGATCTGGACTTTGCTGATAATTTACTCTTCTGTCCCACACACGGAATCACGTGCAAGATATATTAAATATACTTGATACAAGATCATAATATCTAAGTCGAAAATTCATTAGGGAAAGACAAAGGTAATTAGAATAAAGCATGCAAATAGTAATGTGGTTTCTCTTAATGAATTCCAACTCCAAGACGTTGAGTGTACATCTATGTGGGCAATATTGTAGATAAAGATGGGGGAACTGACAAAGATATTGAAATGCGAAAACAGAAGACGAGAGAAGCTTTAATTTCACTAGGAAATATGTAGAGGTCAAAAGAAATTAAAACTATTACTAACCTAAATTTTTTAAAATTTTATTGTTGTATTTAGCGGAAGCACGAAGAACAGCTTTAGCAATTACTAATGAACTACACAAATTTATTAACTGTTGCCTGCAGAAATGGAATTGAATGGTATGATACAATCACTAAAGTAGAGCTTTGGAAGAAAACTAAGCAGTTTCCAATGGACCAAGGTGAAAAAAAATTTTCTTTCCTTCCAAAATCATGGATAGGGATGAGTAGGGGGTAGGGTGGCCTTAACCACTGGCTCACTGTTTTAGTCGTTGTACATTTATTCTTGTTTCTGAAAGTATGTGCATGGCGCGACACTATGAGCTGCAGATTTAATTTATAATGTTATTCGTCAGACCAACGCGGTGTTGTGCACTACAGAAAATGGTAAGCGACCTGTTGCCACAGGTTAAATGGAGTCCTATGTTATTAAAACTGATTGTGTGTGCTGACTGTAATTGCTGCTTCCGTTGATAAGGAGCTGCATTTCTAAAGTCGGACTGTTTGTGTTGGCATTTCTGATGGCTGCGTTTAATGCATGTGTAGGCTAGTGGATATGCAGTCTGTGTCAAGTTTTACACAAGGAGCAGTGATATATTATGTGAGTTTTTCGTTGGCACTGGAGTGGAGCAACTATAGAGTAACCAGTTTGTCATCAAGCTGAAAGTAAGAATACCAAAATTATCGAGTCTGTCAAATGCTACTTTTGTCTCAATTTCAGAAAACGGTTGTCCTCATCTCTTTGCTTGGATCACCAGTGGCTCAGGGTAAGTAAAAGGACCCTTTTCCACGTCTTTAATCGTATTGGGCATATAGGGCTAGACCTATATTTTAGAGACTATGTGGCACTCAGTCGGTGATGTGGTCAGCATCCCGTCAACCACCTTTACTTTCCACTGCTTTACCTGGTACCATTTAATGCAAGAGAGACCTGTTCAAACTCTGGCTCTGTCAGGATCTGAACCCACGACTTTACGATCCGCAGGCAAATGTCTAGCCGCTACAGCACAGCGGCTTCAGCTCAGGGTTAGGGAAGAATGTTTTTATCTTCTGTCTGCTTTCATTGTACAGTCGTACCTCGGATTTCAAACGTTTAATAACTCGAAAGACTTAGAATGATAAGGAAACTTTCAAGTACATTTTCATCGGAACTCGAATGTCGGCTTGGAAACCGAACGCCTAGCATGTGCTGATTGAAGGACGGAAAATCAGCTGTTCACACATGCCGTTATTGTAACTGACTCACAGAGCATGTTGAGAAAAGTGGAGATAGGCATTCTTCGTGCAGAGTGGCAAGCAACACTTTAAAGGTCCCGGGTAGTTAGCATCCTTTGGATATTTTCTCCAGATCAGGCCGGTGTTTTGGGAAATGAGCAGGCTGATAGACTGGCCGGTTCTGCACGGCTTGGTGGTGAACTGATGTATGACAAGCTGGATGTTGTGAAGGCCCTTTGGGAGCGAGTTAACAGTGCCGACGACAAGATAGATCATTACGGTCTGAGGAGAATGGTACTGCGAGGAGTTACAAGGGGATCTAGCCGACGCTCGACGCCCAGGGGAAAGACGAGACGGATATCCAACCAGACAGTTACTGATACCATTGTATCTTCGCTTGCCGCCGAACATAGGGACGTGGCGCTTATTGGGGTGTTCTGAGTGCTGCGATGTTGATTCTTAATTCAACATTCAACACCCAGGGAGAAAGAGGGAGAAGCTCGAAAGATTACCACTGCTGAAATCAAAGATCTTCTGACCATATTGTCGAAAATACAAGAAGTTTTTGAGAACTGGAACCCTGATAGTTTTAGCTAAGAGTTGTGTTAACTTATTCAACGAAAACAGTATCGAACATATAAGAGAAAAAAAAATTAGCAAACTCCAGACCATTTTGGAATACTGGCTGTCAACACAAACTAGTGATCCCAAACCATCTATAAATGGTTAACGGCTATGATATGAAATAACAGATAGGATTCCTGATTCAAGTTGTTGGACGCTGGAACAGGTTAATTTAGTTTCCAGTATTTTCAGACAGTTTGCCTTGGAACTCAAACGATTTGGAATTGGAACATCGTCTCAGAACAGATTATATTCCAATTCCGAGATAGCACTTTGTAAAGGTAAAAATATTATTCTTGCTGGTTTAGTCTACTCATAAATAGGCTATGTAGAAAGTTATGCTTATCTAATTCATTTGACAGAAAATTTGTTTTCGAGGATGATAATTCTAATGAAGAAATCGTATAAATGAATGAGGAAAACGAGAAGCCATAAACTAACATGTTTTCCATTTAGCGGTCGACGAAAAGAGAGAGCAGACTTCCCGAACGCTCCTTGTCCAAGAAAAGGCTCAGAAAGTTTGTCTACCGACGGAAGTGGCAGGTAAGGGACAGCTGCAAAATTCTAACTTGAAAACAAGTAAAACCAAATGGAAAGTAGACCAGCAAGCTTAGCTGCATAACACACACACACACAAACCGAAAGTAAAAGTTGCGGCAACAGAGCTTTCTTCAGCACACACAAAAATCACCTAGCGGTCGTATTCCTGATTATATCTTCAGAGGAAATATTCACAGTAGGTAAATGTCAAAAAAACATTGCTATATCTACAACCAATTTACACAACTATCTGTATCATTGTTTGTGGATGATGTCGTCACCATGGTTTTGTTTATCATCATAATGGTCGTGATCACAAAGATCACAGTTATCATCACCATCATCATCATAGGTATTAACATTTTCATCATTAGGATCATATCATCATCAGTATCATCAACACTATCAACATCTCAGCATTATTAATATTAAATATTATCAAAGCCTGTCTAGAAGGATGGTCTCATCACAATTTTCCACAGACTAAGTATTCCTGTAGATTCTAATGATTTGCTCAATCTTTCTAATCCTAGGAGCAATGCAGACCATAGGCCAAGTTTTTTTTTTCCTAAAATGTGTCCGGGCAGTCCATTTGTACTAAAAAAAAATCGCAAATTTTCCCGTTTCATAAAAATCTAGGGACAAGATAGAGAATAAAAAGAACATTTACAGTTATATCTGTAGACCAAATTGGATCCTCCTGTTTGTTTATTAGAAAATATGTACAAGGAAATTTCCTGCCAGGTAAAGGCAACCAACATGATGCTGACCACATCTTGTACCCAAGTCCTATAGATTACAGGTCTCGCTCCGTATGTTTGATCATCCATAGGCAGGAACATGACCTTTTACCCCTTTAGAAAAAAAAAAAACCGTTAGTTAATTAGTTGACAGATGATCCTCAAAGCACATAAAACCATTCAGTCCTTAAATGCTCGGATCCTCTTCCATAGTAAATTCCGTATCGTGTAGCGGTTCTCGACTCCAGTTCTGTGTTGGTTTATTATTCTTCTTTGGCTTCTGCATTGTCCTCTTGTCTGGCCACACCCCTTTTATCATGTTGTTCGTGCAGTGTGCTTATTTATGTAGATTTACAGTCATCACTTGTTTCTCCCAAACGTCTTACTTCTCGTAGTCATTCACAATATCAGCCTGATCCGTGGCTCGTCCGCCCTCCACATTTACTTTACCTGCAAGTCGATCAGCTTGCTCATTTTCTTGCACGCCTGCGTGTCCTGGCACAAAAAATAAACTGATATGAGTCAGCCCTTACTGCTTTAGAGACTCCAGCCACTGTCTTCGGATCCAGTCCTTCTCTACCTTCGTGAGCCTACCTATTGAATCATTTTAAAAAAATCGTTTAGCCCTAAAACCAGGCGAGGACAGAACCGGTGTAGAATCATCTGATGTGACAGTCAACATAGAGAATCATCCAGCAGTATTTCAACCCTAGCGAGGCCCGCTCCACTCTAGGTGAACATTTTCTCGTTAGCGAGTATCCTGATGGATACAGTTCCCAGTCTGCCCCACTAGAGGGTTGGGGGGAGGGAGTTAACTTGTGCGATCATGGGACAGCAGCAGCTTCTCGTTTCCGATTGTCACACTCCCGGGAGAGTTAGCTGGCACCCAAACACTGCTGTCTGCAGTACCACATCTTGCAGACCCTAAAACATTGGCGGCTTTCAACTTCTTTCAACTACAGTGAAAAGACTGAAAACGCAAGTGTACGCACATGAAATAAGATCTAACAACTTTTCAAAAACAAAACTATAGGGCTCAGTAGAGAGAAGCTTGACAGATGCAGACCAAGAAAGACCTGGATACAGAACTTAACAGGCTGGACAGGCTTTATGCATGCAGCCATGAAGTTCATCTGACCATCATAGGTGAAAGGAGCTGATCAGACAGTCAACAGAAACTGGTGACCCAACGACATGTAGTGTTACAAGAAGCTGATAATGAAAGACTTATTGCGAATAGGTTGTGGTTGTGTCGTTTAGTTATTTTCCCCAGGTCATGATAGTGTGTTGGGAACCGACCAGGCAAATCAACTGGCTGGTTCTGCAAAACTTGGTGCTGTATTAATATGTGACAAGCTAGATGTTGTAAGTTTCCTTTGGAAGCAAGTGAACAGTGCGGAGGCCAATCAGATTATCATACTATGAGGATAATGGCGCTGCGAGGAGTTATCCGAGGATGTGGCCGATGTTCAGGACTCAAAAGAAAAGTCAGACAGATATACAATGAGACTTTTGCTTGTTCCATCGGTGGTGGATCTTTGTGTTTGCTGCTAAAGATTGGGACAGAGCGCAAGTGGAACTGTCATGAGTGCCGTGATGTCGATTCACAATCCAGTATTCAACATTAGAGTGTGGAGCGTCATGTAATGTTCAGGGACATAAAGAGGAATAGAAATACCGACACACTAAAACATCTGAACATCAAGGAAGATTTGGCAGATGAACACCGTATTGTTTCTTGTTTCAAACGCGGAAAAAATGTGTTTATATTAAGCGTCATAGCGGGTTGGGGAAACAATAAAGGAAGAAAGCATGGTACCAGAAAGGATGGTCAGAGGCCAACAAAGGGGACATGGAAACATGATATAAGTGACTCATTGGATACGAAAGTACACGAGCCAGGAGAGCTGACGAGAGATCGAGTTTCTTTGAGGTAAACAGTGATGAGAGCAATTTTCTGCCAAGGACCTGCTACATGTTGATGATGATGAGCTACCAGTGGGGCTAAAGGGCCAATAAGGGGTCCTTTACATTTCTTTTACTATATGTCTGATCCTATAACAGCAGAAAATGGGTCATTTAACTGATTCAATGATAGAGCATGTTGTGGTTGTTTTCAGAAAGCAATCAATGCGATGCTGGCACTTCGTCGGATGGGAGTGTCTTTATGTTAGAGCGACGATATTTGGACCAAACGACCAAAATAAAATGTGAGTATATGCTATGAGCGTGTCTTTATATTTATATATATATATTCCCGGCTCTCTAGCGTAATTGGCTAAACCGGATTGCGCGGTGACCGGGTGACGAACTCCTTGTGGTCCGGGTTCACTCCCGGGGGTAGGCAGAAAAGCCACAATTCTCCCAGATTTACGGTATTTACAATGGAATCAAAGCTGAAAGGTTGCGATATCCACACCCAGCCTAAGGGTTAATTACTCATGGCTTCTGGATACTTTAACATATATATATATATATAAACAACTAATCGAGATCACGGCACAAGGTTAGTAACACATAAGTGCTCTCTTCTTTTTCTAACTCAAGCCTGAGTCCAAAAAATCTCAGAGCAGTGCACGAACTCCATAGCACCGCGAGAATCATGAAATATTTTGGGTAGATTTTCAACTCTAAATTTTGTCAGGGCAACGCCATTAGGCTACTTTATTCGATCTCCAACTGAAAATATATCTTTTATGTACGCAACAATACACACAGGCGTCCGATCTTACTGCACCTGAGACCAGTGGAAATAACTAGAAGTCCACGTGAAAAAATCCCAGCTTTTGGGGAAGCCTAAACCCGTGACCTTTAGCACTCGAGATAGACGCCAATGCTCGAGACCACGCCCCCCCCCCCCCACTTATCTTTATATTATGTTGACGATATTTGGCCTAAACGACCAAAATTAAACATGATTAAATGGTGTTGGCACGTAATTAAAAGTAAAGGACCCTTTTCCACGCCTTTAGGCGTATAGGGCATGACCTTTATTTTTATAGACCAATTGGCACAAGATGGATGATGTGGTCAGCATCACGCCGGCGGCCTTTACTTCCCGGACTGCATCCGGTACTCACTCAAGGCTGGGTCGACCTGGTAACCAAGGTCATTTTTTTTTAAAGTCCGGCTCCGCCAGGGAGCGAACCCACGACCTTCCGATCCGCGGCGAGCGTCTAGCCGCACGGCCACGGCGACTCCCTTGTTGGCATGGCATCAGAGTTATTTTCTTTACTCAACAGTTTCTGCTCTTGTTTTTGTTCATCCAATTGACGATATCTGGGTGTGCATGTTTACGGCATGCCAGCGATATTTGCCCCATTTAGCCTGGGTTACTCACTGAGTGAGCTTTCCAGGTGTTTCTTGTGTTATGACGTAGCCCCATTTGTGTGGGTTTCTCTTGTTCCCATAACTACAGATGCTGCTCTGTAGAACCAATCCAGAGCAACTGTATGTAGACAGGTTGCCCCTTAAGGGAAGGTAGGGGCAGATAATTAGCATTCACTGTCTTTCAAGAAGGCTTCCATAAAAGCAGATCAGACAAATGACGCCTGCTTATATACTCCTTACGTCCTTCTTAGGACGTAATTTTTTGTTATTTGAAGCCCCACTCTGGCTTTTGCCAGGGGCCGCAATATAGGCAGGCCATCAATATGGCCAATTGTCTGAACGCGGTTTCTGGGACCTCTCCACGGTGATCCTCATCCGCATGGTGGCACTTTGTGTCATCGGGTGTTTATCGCTTGTGTGATGTCCTGGTGGGGTAGAAAGTCAGTCAGTCATGACGCTCTGGTCTTCGGCTCAACCAAGGAATCGTGACGTCCTGCACTTGACTGCTTAACAGCACACCCGTGTGTTGATCTGCCTGCCCATCACGCGCTGCGTCCATTGGAGATCATCATGCAGGTCTGAGACTTCTACAAATGTGCACAATCGGTTTTAGTATAATGATGATGATGATGGTGATGATAGACTAAGGCAGGCTGCCTTAAATGTGAAGAAAGGAAAACGAAAAGGGGCGGGTAGAACAAAGGGGGAGAGCGGTTACATCTGTAGGAGATATGCATTATCTCAACTGGTCTCCCTCTGCTAACATGTGTTTATTTAAAAATCGTGTAACATCATATAAACATCTAATTACTGTACTAAGGGATATCATTCTTGTCTCCCAAGTTGCCGACTGTTGCTGAGAGCTGGAGCCAGTCTTCACATCTGGACAATGTGTATCTAAAAGTCATCTTTTATTGGAGCCTGCCAAGAACTCCCAACAGATATACCTCTGCAGATTATACGCAGGTCAATCGAAAGATGAAAAAAATGAATCTGGTGAAGAGTTTCTGGTATCTGTCTTTCAGTCTTGTCAGCAACCTACGAACAACCGGATGTTGCATTTTTTAACAGTATTTTCTGTTTATAACACGCATTTAACGAAATGTAGTCAGTATTGAAGCAACTACAGGTAAAGATTTTTATGACTTCAAAATGTCTGCTGGCGTTAACAGTAATAGTAGGACAATATATTATTTTGTTTCATTCCTGTTTTTATTCCCTTTTTCTCTGTAACCTATTTGTTACTTTTGCCTTTTATATCCCAAACCGTTGTTTGTTATCATTATCATGTGCCTTGATAGTAGGAATAGTTAGCCATCTTACACTATTACTGGTATCTTGTTTGTGTTTGTGGTTTTGGGATGTTGAGAAAGTAAACACAGACGGTTGAAAGTATAGGAAAAACACACACATACACAATCTATCTGTGTTGCATGTTTGAACTTCCCATGTGGGTTCTTTGGGCCCTTGTTATAAGTGAAAGAAGGATATACCCTCCCCCCTCCCCCTCCCTCATCCCCCAGCGCTCAACTAGCATATTTCAAAAGGCAACCGGCTAGATGTTTGATGAAGTAGCATATTTTGGGCAGAAAATGCAGCTTTTTCGGCCTAGCTGTAAACCACAACAATAAACCACAACAATAAACCACAACAATAAACCACAACAATAAACCACAGCAATAAACCACAACAATAAACCACAACAATAAACCACAACAATAAACAACAACAATAAACCACAACAATAAACCACAACAATAAGTTTCAGCCTTTACTTTGAGGGCAAAAGCATGAGGAGCAGAAGGGGGAGAAGATTATGATCAAGAACAAATCAACAAACTTTATTTTTAGAGGGTCACAAATTAGGCACGCAGGCCAGTCTAACATTTGACACATTCAGATACCCATTTTTCCCACAACAATTATATTTTAACAATGTATCATGTTATATTTGTAAAAGAATATACATAATATCAGTATCCAGGGGAGCACCCACAAGAATTAATGGTAAATGCTAATATAGACAGACACACACACATACATACATACATACATACATACATACATACATACATACATACATACATACATACATACATACATACATACATACATACATACATACATACATACATACATACATACATACATACATACATACATACATATATGCACACATACCTACATATATGAATACATACGTAAATACATACATACATACATAATTATTCACACACATACATTCACATGCATACATACATGCAAGCATGTATACTTACATACGCATACATACATACATACATACATACATACATACATACATACATACATACATACATACATACATACATACATACATACATACCTACCTACCTACCTACCTACCTACCTACCTGCCTGCCTGCCTGCCTGCCTGCCTGCCTGCCTGCCTGCCTGCCTGCCTGCCTGCCTGCCTGTCTGCCTGCCTGCCTGCCTGCCTGCATACATACATACATACATACATACATACATACATACATACATACATACATACATACATACATACATACATACATAACATACATACATACATACATACACACACACACACACACACACATACACAACATACACATACATACATACATACATACATACATACATACATACATACATACATACATACATACATACATACATACATACATACATACATACATACATACATACATACATACATACATACATACATACATACATACATACATACATACATACATACATACATACATACATACATACATACATACATACATACATACATACATACATACATACATACATACATATATATACACACACACACACACCTACCTACCTACCTACCTACCTATCTACCTACCTACCTCCCTCCCTGCCTGCCTGCCTGCCTGCCTGCCTGCCTGCCTACAGACAGACAGACAGACAGACAGACAGACAGACAGACAGACAGACAGACAGACAGACAGACAGACAGACAGACAGACAGACAGACAGACAGACAGACAGACAGACAGACAGAAACGACAGACAGCCAGCCAGACAGACAGACAGACAGACAGACAGACAGACAGACAGACAGACAGACAGACAGACAGAACAACAACAACAACAACAATAACAACAGCAACAACAAGAAATATCGTTGTTCAGTGCTTGTATGTTTTTCTGCTTATGTTGTGCAAATATTCATGTAAGGAAATTGTAACGGTATTAGAAACCTGCTGTGGCATACGGGGTAATGACCATACCTTTAAAGATGGTGGTCGGGATTCGAAACCTAGACTTTGCTGGGTTTTATCTTTGGCACTAACGCTGTCTCTTGAAATGTGTAGAAGATAAGAAGATCTTTTCTGGAAACTGTCATTAAAAGAATGTGCGATGAGGAAAGGAACTGGTCATCCATGTCAAATATCTTGGTGTAGAAGGTTTGTTTTTTATCCATCACTGGCAATGCCCCTTTAATGTCTTCTTGAAATCCATGAATCAATCCTGTTTGATGTTATCCATGTCCTTTTAAAGTATTGAATTTTTTGCTAAATATATATCATTCACTTTTATAAATGCCCGTGTACTGTTTTTCTATGATTTTATACTACTTTATGCTTCAAACAAGCCTTTTTTTTTAACTTTTAAAAATCCATGTTATCAGTGATGTTAGCCATCGGAATGACATGGTTTTAATGTAGTTATATCTTTTTAAATTTGTACTCGGTTCTCTTCTTTTATATGCACATTTCTTGATGTTTCTAGGACTAATTGTTAATTCGTGTTTTTTAATGGCACAGTGAGGGACAGTAGGTGTGATTTACGTAGGGACAGTGAG